ATTAATCTTAGCAACTGGTGAGTATGTGTCTAGGAAGTCAATCCCATAAATCTGTGTGTATCCCTTGGCAACAACTCTGGACTTAAATCTTTCAATAGTCCCATCTGACTTGTGTTTAATCTTGAACACCCACTTAGAACCTACAGCTTTCTTACCCTCAGGTAACTTCACAACTTCCCAAGTCTGGTTTTCTTCCAATGCTGCCAACTCTTCATTACAAGCCTGGTTCCATCTGGGATCTTTGCAGGCTTCAGCATAGGAAGTAGGCTCTACATCCATCATGACACTGAATGCAAAGGATCTCTGTGCAGGAGTAAGGTTTTCATAGGAAAAGGTCTTCCAGATGTGATGTTTAGAACATGATGCAGAAATGTTTATGTCATAGTCTTTGTGCCATGCTGGGACATTTCTGGTTCTAGTGGACTTTCTGAGGAGTTCAGCCTCGTTAGAATCATCATCATCAGGGAAAACGTCAATCTCAACCTCCCCCCCCTCCAGAATGCAAACCAGGAGACTCTAAACATGAAGTGTGTTTGGAAGAGGAAGAAGAAGGAGTTGGAGATGGGAAGAAATTGTGGGAGGTAGATGAACTGGGAGCATTCTGGGAAGTGGATGTGGTAGGTGGTGATGGGAAAGAAGGATTATTTGAAGGTGTAGGAGACAAGTTAGGATGAATGGGATCTGAAAGGAGAGTAGGTGCAGTGGAAGAGGAGGAAGAAATGTGGAAAGGTAAAATTGTCTCATAGAATGTAACATCTCTAGAGACAAAAAAAACTGTGGGAATTTAGGTCATAAAGTTTAAAACCTTTAATTCCAGAGGGGAATCCATGGAAAATGCATTGCCTTGCACGAGAATCAAACTTGGTCCTATCCCTATGCAAGGTGGCGGCATAGCATAAGCAACCAAAAACTCTTAAGCCAGATAGGCTAGGAGGTTTGTGATAGAGAAGTTCATAGGGGGAAGTGTTGTTCAGGGCAGAAGTGGGGATTCTTTTAATGAGATACACAACATGCAACACACAATCACTCCAGAATTGAAGGGGAACTCCATATTGGAACCTCAGTGATCTGGCAACATTCAGTATATGCTAATGTTTCCTTTCAACCCTGGAATTCTGTTCAGGGGTCTCAATACAAGAAAGTTGATGCTCAATCCCATTAGCAACATAGAATTCTGCCATATGAAACTCACCTCCCTGATCACTTCTAACAACCTTGACATGTTTTGAATACTGCTTAGACACCATTACACAGAATGATTCTAACAGTTTACTAGCTTCAGATTTGTACTTCATTAAATAGGTCCAGACACCTCTTGAGTAATCATCAACGATTGTTAGGAAATAGGAATAACCATCATGTGATTTAACAGCCAATGGACCCCAGATGTCCACATGAATAAGGGAAAAAGCATCCTGTGCACGAGAAGAACTAACTGGAAAAGGTAACCTTTATGTTTGGCAAAATGACAGGTTTCACAGTGAAAACTAGAGACCCTATTACATGGTACTAATAGTTTCTCTTTCTCTCTATGAACATGTCCAAGTCTCCAGTGCCACAGGTCAAAGGTTTGAGGAGAAAAGTTGTAGATGCTGCTGCCTGAGGTTGTGATTGAGGTGGTGAAGAAGATGGGATAGTCTTGAAGTTTAGCTGATATAGGCCTCTAATCTGCTTTGCCAAACCAGTCCTGGTGAGGGTCATTAGGTCCTGAATTTGGCAAGAGTCAGATTCAAATTGTAAGGATACTGGTAAGTCATTTGTAAGTTTACTCACAGATACTAGGTTGAATGAGAAACTGGGCACAAGAAGGACATTATCAAATACTAGTCCTGAAGGAAGCTTAACTCTCCCTATATGACTCACAGAAACTTTGGTTCCAGTAGGTAAGAAAAACAAACTGGTTCTGAACTGGGGTGGATTCAAAGAAAAGATCTAGGCTGCAAGCTATATGGTCAGAGGCACCAGTGTCGAGTATCCATATACCTAGCAACCCATTAGATTGTTGTGGAAGATAAGAAGAAAGAATGTATTTACCAGCATGATTTGGGAAATGAGGAATGTGCTGAGCCACTGAGAAAGCATGATGATTAATGGAGGGAGAGGCTGGTGGAGATGGACTTGGTGAAGGTGGGACTGAATTCAGGAGGAACCTCAACTTGTTTAACTCCTCAGAGGATAATCCAAAACTGCCACTGGAAGGTCTAGTGTCAATGCTGAGTTTGGTTTCTCAACTAGCAGAGTCACTATCAGTAGAGGAGTCATTTTGAGAAACAGCTGCAGCCACTTTTCCTCCTGCCATTCTTGCCTTCTTACGTTTGAGACTGTAACATTCATCAATGGTATGGTTTTCTTTCTTGCAGTACCTGCAGAACTTCTTTACATCAGAGATATCCATACCCTTCTGTTGATTACTTGAATTCCCTGTAACAGCAAGAGCTACAGTCTCAACTCCCTTAGTCCCTCCAGCCTTGTCTCCTTTAATCTTCTGTTCATGTTGCAGTAAGTCATTTACAGCACTGTCCACTGTGGGAAGTGGCTTCATCATCAGCAGTTGTGTGTGCACAATCTCATATTCAGGTCTTAACCCTTTCAGAAAGCGAATGAGGTATTCCACTTCCTGCTTCTGTTTAAAAGCTTCTACAGCTGCACAAGGTCGAGTGCGTTGAGCCACACAATCACATTCGACAATGGGGTTAAACTGAGAGTATTCTTCCCATAGGCCCTTGAATGCTGTGCAATACTGTGTGATATTCATGGATCCTTGCTTACAAGCAATGATCTGGTCCTGTAGATTGGCCAGTTTAATGGCATTTGAGAGTCCAAATCTCCTTTTCAACTCTTCCCAGAGAACCTGGGCATTCTCATGCTGCATAACACTTCTCCTAATTTCATTTCCAATTGAATTAAGAACCCAGCATAAAACCAGAGTGTTCGAGGCATCCCATAAGCCAAAATTAGGATCATCAGCAGGTGGCATGACAATCGTACCATCGATGAATCCTAACTTGTGCTTAGTCTTCAAAGCCGAATTTCTCGTTGCCACATTTGATAGTTTGAACCATCCAGATTTTTAGAAACAATCGACTGTGAGATATTCTCATTTGGGTTTATGTAAAATGGGTTACCAAAGAGTAGATCTGCTCGCCCGTTGTTGCCATTGTTGTTGCTGTTGTTGTTATTGGTCGTCCCGGTGTTGTTGCTCCCTCCACTCGTCTGACCATCAAAGCTGCCAAAAGGAATTGCTCCAGGGTTGAGTGGAGTGCCACCAGGAGTGTTTGGACGAGGTGTAGTCGCCATTGCAAATCACTGGAATTGTTCCAACTCTGATACCATATGAAAAAGCTCAATGAGCTTAGGTTTTGTAGAGGAAGAAGGATAGAGGCGGCAGAGAATGAGGGAACCCGCAAGAGGTGATTCTCCTCTGCTGCTTTGTATTTATACCGAACAGAAAGGTAAAGTTCAGTACAGTAAAAATGGAACCAGTCCGTTAAAAACAGAAATACAAAATGCAGTAAATAAACGCGCCACTTGTCTTCGTGTGATTGGCCCTTCAATGCTCCACCTAACGTTCACTGAGAAACCTTCACGACGTCGCTTTGGTATTCTCCTTAAACATCGGATGGAGGGGAAGGCAGAAACGTTTCGTTTTTGCCTGATTCGTTTCTTCTTCAAACTTCAAGCTCGCGCCTTCTGCAGATGATCGTTGGAGATCAGTCGTCTTCTTCCTAGATTGATATCTTCTGGTTCAGAATCTCAGAGGTTGCCGAATTACTGAACAATTGCTCTACCAGCTCGTGGGTAATGCTTCTAATCTCGAGTCATTGAGTTTGGAAAAATGTTTTGGAATTGAAAACCCTGAAATATCATACAGGACGATGTTGGTCCGGGTCGGGCTCCTGGTTTGAACTCTTGCTTACTACGACCCCTATCCTAAAGAGGTTACTTCTCCACGAGTTATTGCAGCCATGTAAGCTTAGAAAAGTTTCCCAGTCATCAGCGCAACATCGTCCTATATGCTCCTCCTTCGTCGTCGGTCGATCGACTCTCTCCCCTCCTTCGATCGGCGACTCAGCTCCCCATTCTCCACACATAAAACAAAATTCATTCTCTTCTGATTAATAGCCGATGCAAGGATTAATTATTAATCCCTATTCCCTAGATCCCCCCAATCTCCCTCTCTTCCCCCGGCCACCGGTGGCGGCCGACAGCTCGCCCACTACCGCTGCCACCACCAACCTTCATTTAACTATTCTCACAAAAAAAGTCGCTTAAATTAACATCGCGATGTCCACGCCGGTGAGGCCTCAACAACCCAGCAGCAACAAGAGGATTAGGAACAAGAGGAACATAACGGTGGACGTCCCGCTGGCGAGGTTCACGCCCCACAATCGCCGGTACTGTCGATGTAGGCGACCGCGGACGAGGAGCAGCAGCAGGGAAGGCGGCAGCGGATCATAGAAGGGATAATTGCATGTCATGCCACTTAAGTTTTGGCTTGGTTGCACTTAACCGCTAAAATTTGTTTAGTTGCAACTAAAACACTTAAGTTCAATTTTCGTTGCACCGTCACCTTTTCCATCCAAAAACTTAACAACGGATATGAAAAGGTAATTTTACATGTCACATCCACATTCCAGCTCAGCTTTGAATTGCTAACTCACAGAAGCTGAGCTAAACTTGAACGAAAATCTAAATAAATGAAAACTCAATCGTAGAAGCAAAGTACTTTAGATAAATCGGCTTTGAATCTCATGCTCATTTAACAATGATAAAATTGAAAGCATCGAAAGAAAAGAAAAAACTCAGATCATTGTAGATAGGGGTGGGCATTTGGTCGGTTCGGTTCAAACCAAACCGAATAGATGCTTACCGGATCCCCGAAGTATGTCATGGGTCAAAGTGAGTTCGAACCGAAATATATCTCGGTTCGGTTTTAATACAACAACCGAAAGTTCCAGAATTAATACTCTCCCCACTAACCCTATCTCCCCATTTACCATATGCGGTTGCGGAGAACAAATTATTTCTCTCTCTCTCTCTCTCTCTCTCTCTCTCTCTCTCCCCTCATAGAGCAGAACGCAGCCGTAAGTTTTCCTCCCATCTCGGCGATTGACGAAGAGAACCCAAGGGTAGGTGGCGAGGGCGATTGAGGAAGAGAAAGACCCAGGGCCAGGCGGTGATGGCGAGAGACAGAGAGCACAATCCAGCGGCGGCGGCGTCGATTGACATCGATGATTGTGACGAATCCGGCGACGAAGGTTAAGAGGTTAGTAAAGCTTAATATCCAAACATGCATGGAATTTTTGGTTTGTTTTTCTCCTTCGCATCTACGTTTCTCATCGATTTCGCTTTTCTTTTTTGTATTTGGTTGAAGGCTTGAAGGGAAGTGATGGCGTCGACCGTCGAGCAAATCTTGGTTTGGGGGCTCGAACTTCGTCGGTCGTCGAGCAGATCTTGGCCGCCAAGCCTTCTCCTCCCTTCGTTTGCAATCGCCGACGGGGACTTGAACTCTGCTGCCGTTCTCCTCTTTTATCGCCGAGGGATCGCCGCCAAGCCTTCACTTTCTGCTGGTGATTGTTGTGAGAATGAGGTTTGGGTGGGCTAGGGTTTCCTTAGAGAAATGGAAAAATAGATGTAGCGGGCTTGGGGTTGTGTGGGCTTGGATTTGTGTGGGCTCAGGGCTTGGAGTTGTACACTGTGACTGTTTGTTCAGTTGGTCGGTTCGGAAATCGAAAATTGGTTTCGGTTGAGAAGATCCTGGTTTCCGAACTCTTTAGTTTTGGCTTCCGATTTTCGAACCGAATAAGAATACTTCGGTTTCGGTTTGGTTGACTTCGGTTTCGGTCCGGTTCGGATTTACCGAACCGGATGCCCACCCCTAATTGTAGAAGCTAAAATAAATATTGTCCAATCCCAAACTCCCATGTTCCAATACACGAGAAACAGAGTATCAACTTATCGCTCCCTCTACGTGAAGCCGAAGGAAGTCGAGCACAAGTTTCCCGATGGTCGTTGATCTTGCTGATGCGGCGGCGACCGAGGTTGATTACGAAGAACCGGAGGAGGCGACCATGAAGAACCGGACAAATTTTACAGGATTTCAAGGCTAAGGTTCAACCCAGAAAAGAGCAAATAATTCTGTGCAGGGATCGAAGAGGCAGAGCTTGCCAGACTAGCACAGTTAGCTGGGTGTCAGAAAGCTTCATTACCAGTTTGTTATCTGGGAGTTCCTCTCATAGCAGGGAATTTTACTACAAGTGACTGTAGAGTGTTAACTGAGAAGATCACAAAACGCATTTCTGGATGGAAGTCTAAGATGCTCAGCTACGCAGGTAAACTCCAACTCATTACTTTTGTCTTGAGTAGTCTATCCTACTTTTGGATGAATGTTTTCCTACTACCACTGTCCATCATAAAGGAGATAGAGCAAAAATGTTGTAAGTTTCTCTGGGGCATAGATGATGAATCCATGATGAAAAAAGCGATAATGGCCAGGGATTTATTAGCTATCCCAAAGAAGGAAGGGGGGCTAGGCATTCGTTGTCTAAAAACATGGAATATAGCTTGCACTACGAGACACATATGGGCTCTGCTTGCCAAAGAGGGGTCTTGGTGGGTTGCATGGAATTACCAGTATCGTATTAAACATCTCACTTTTTGGGAATTAAGAGCAGGTAGTACTGCTTCTTGGGTTTGGAAGTGATTGCTAAAGGTTAGCGATAAGGTGGAAGATTTTTTTCAATGTTGGGGAACACAGGTTTATTGGAATGATAAAAGGATGTTGAGATACTCTGTAAAATAGGTTTGGCAGGATTTACAGCCGGTTAGACCTCTAGTTTCCTTGTATCAGCTTGTATGGGGAAGACACTCTATTCCTACACATAGTTTCTTGGTTGGATTGTGGCACGCAACAGGATAAACACATTGGATCATTTGAAGGGCTGGGGGAAGGTGTTGGATAATAAATGTCTGCTCTGTTATGCTCATACAGAGGATCGAGACCATCCATTCTTCCAATGCCAATATACATTCAAGGTGCTGAAGGGTTGCCTGCAAATGCTTGATTAGAGATGTCCTCAGCTAGCCAACTATGAAGACTACTTGACGTGGGTTGTGAGGAATTTTAAAGGTAAGAAGGCGTTAGCTATAGTTGGTCGTTTGGTTTGGAATTTAGTAGTAAGCATGGTTTGGAGGGAACGGTGTGGCAGACTGTATGGGAGTAAATCAATGCAGTATGGGGAGGTAATTCGTACCGTTCGAAGACTAATTGAGTTGGCCTGGCATGGAAATGCAGCATTGGATATTGATTGCCGAGTAGTTTTTATTGAGTAAGTACAAGTTAGCAGTAGAGTGTAGTAGCAGTGGAGTGTAGTAGATTTTTGTTTGCTGTATAGTAGTAGTGTGTAGTAGTGCATGTTTAGTCTGCTGCAGAGTGTAAAGATCAAGATGTATTAAACACATAGAGCTTAAATAAAAAGAATTTATATTGCCCATAAAAAAAAAATTCTGTTTATTTTTCTTCTGATTTCTACTCCCAAGTTTTGCTTGAAGGACCTCCTGGAGTGAGCATATTTCCGTTTTTTATTAGTTACTTGCTTTTGAATTCTAGGTCAATGGAAATGCCATCACTGCAACTGGACCTACTTGTTGTTGGAAGTTCGCATTCGGCTTGTATTGGTAATCGTAAGAAGTGTCGATTCCGCCATTGCAGCTGGGACCCCTCCACCCAAAGCTGGTCGGTTAACCATAGTGCTCCACATTTATCATCCGAAGTTTCTGTGAGTCAGCAATCCAAAGCTGAGTTGGAATGTCATGTGCAATGTAAAATTACTTTTTTATACCACCGTTTAGACCTGGCAAATTACAACCCAACCGGTTGACCCGACCTGAAACCGCCCAAAAACTAGAAATTTTTGTAACCTGAAACCCAAATGACCTAAACCTGATAACTCGTGACTTTTTGGGTTGGGTTGGGTGGGTTTGCGGGTCGACCCGTTAGACCCATTCCATTTTATATATCACTCCCAAAATGATAAAATCACTCATAAATTTGTGAGATGTTTAAAAAAATTACAAGGATTTGAATGACATGTTTGGAGTTTAAGGATAATCAAATATCATGTGTATCTTGTAGTAGTATTACTCTTGTGATTGTTTTTTGACGATTTGCGCAATTTGTATTTTTCATTTCATTAGCGTGGGAGGATTTGAGAATATGTTAATTGACAAGTGTTAGGTAAACTATTGTCATGCATATGTGAAAATTCGTGTTCCTTAAGAAAATATGAGGCATGTTTTATATTTTTTCTGAGAATGCTCATAACCCGAAATGACCTATAACCCAACCCAAATCGAATGGGTTGGGTCAATATTTGACCCAAATTCAGCCAAACAAACAAGACCCGACCCGTAACTGAAGTCTCCAACCCGACCTGATTGCCAGGTCTACCACCGTTAAATTTTTGGATTAAAAAGGTGACAATGCAACGAAAATTGAACTTAAGTGTTTTAGTTGCAACTAAACACATTTAAGTGGTTAACATGCAACCAAACCAAAACTTAAGTGGCATGGCATGCAATTAACCCATCATAGACGGAGTGGACAACTGCAAGATTGGAGAAGGATTAGCAAATTTTAGGGTTTTGAGATTGTAGGGCTGAATTGGGGCAGACAGAGGTCGGAGACCTTGAAGGTTGTTAACTTACAACCTAATCAGAAATTCGGTGGTGTGGGGGATTTTAATTTTTATATTTTAATGATATCGAAAGATTAAAAGAATTAATTTTTTTATTAATCTTTTAATTGTCACGTCAGATATTTAACAATCAACTTTAACGGTCAACTATCACATTAGAGAAACTTAATGAAGAGTGACTAAACGTGGACCATTTTACTAATTCGAGTGACCAAAATTAATATTAATTATTTCCAGTAACTAAATATGACACATTTTAATAAATTCCGTGAACAAACTTGGCATCGTCCAAGGGACTGTAAAAAACTAGTGTTAATTAAATCCAATTTCTACGAAACATCTCGATGAAATAGAAAAAGTACAACCATGACAAGAAAATGCAATAAGGATTTCACACGCAGCATTTCATTCATTGCGCTTCCACCAGAGAACTACACAAGTAGTTGTTTACAACATCCATATTCAACATCGAGAAATAAACACAAACTTATAGCTCTATATTAATGTTTACCCTCACGGTTCCACAACTTCGCTGGCCCCAAGCGACAAGTGCTGAAGTCGAGTGTTCCAGCAGCTACATTGCAAAGTATGCAGCAGCTGGCTTCAGTAGTGAACTTGAGGTACACAAATTGCTTGTTAGTAATATAGAAAGAATGAGGTGTTCAACTTCTGTAGAAACAGATTATACAGCTATTACGGCTGAGAATGAATACTATGGGAGTAGCTACGAACTGTTTTCTTCCTGTTCTTAGCAAACAAAAATGCATTAGTTGCGACTTCATCTCAGAACCAAGGTAGTGCCCACAAGTAAGCTCCTCTTGCTGTGGTGAGCATTGCAGAATCACAATATCCCGCCCCAACTCACTTCATCTGTCATCTGGTTGTAAGGTTGGGCTCTTGGAGCACATATCAATCTTGTGAAGCTCTCTCATACGGCTGGCAGTATTACACAGACCTGATATGCTTTGCAAATTCAGTAGATGATAGAAAAGGGAGAACAATAGGGCTGTTTTTGTAGAGGCAGTTTAAGGGAATTTGTCGGGTTATTTATTCTGTAATGGAAACTGGATTCACTAAACTTAATAAGAAGAGTGACTTCCCCAAACCTAATCATCTCTCTTCTGTCTCTCTCCCAGCCGAACCCTCTCCCCCACTGTTCCCCTCTGTGCCGTCGGTCTCCCACTGGAGCCGAGTTCTCTTTCACTTCTTCCTTCCCAAATCTCATAAATTCCCCTCTTCTCCCTATATCCTTAATCTTATCAAATCCCTAATCTCAATCTATTTCTCAATTCCATAACCTGACCCGGAAGCACCCTAGATCCACGATTTCTATCACAATGGCAATTCAGAAGAAAATGTAGCCCGTGGATCAGCATGAATGCGATTTGCAGGCCCAGTAAATTGTGCAGAATACCAAATAGAAAAATACACAAGAAAGAAACTGTTGTACAAAAACCCCAACTGTAAAGTACGGACCTAATTGTTCGTACAAGATACAACAGATAAATGAAACTTGAATGGAGTTTATAATACCTGAGCATTTAGGAATGTCCCAAACAGCTATAGATGTTGACGTACATCGAGGATCGCATATTGCTCGGTTGTCTTCATGTTTCACATCCATTGCTAGCATCCACGACCCGATAGTAACATCTTCATTGCTGAACATTCTGAAGCTGGTAGCTCAAATGTTCAAACTTTAGTATAAGAATAACTTGTAGACAACTCATACTAGGGATATAACTTACTAATTTACTCTTGAAACAAAAATGTAAGTAGAGTAAAAAACTTAGCACCAGAAGTGAATGTCTAGAAAACTAAATGAATTTTGTTGTTCCCTTGAGTGCTTCAGTAGACATCATGAACCCACTAGCAAGTTGGGATACCTCAGGGTGGAACAATTGATACTGAAAGGCCTAATAAACTGCAAGGTCTTGGTATTCTTTAAATTAGAATCAAATGGAACACCTAGTCACTCCTGTAGATCAGGTGCTCTGAATGAAGATGCATGATATCATTACCCTCTCATATGCTAACCTTCAACAGAGCCCACCAAAATCTCCAGAAATGTAACAAGGTGATGAAAAGATGACCTAAGAAGAACCAGCACCAAACTCCTTCGTCATTGAAGAGGAGCAGGGAGGAAGTGCAAAAGAAATGGACTAACTTAGATCATCACATGTAGTAACATGTTGGGCGACTTATGAAAGTAGTAACTAAGGATGTTGAGCCATGCTCCAACAGCTATGTTTTGAAGCTTCATGATCACTAGAGTCATTAGCAGCAGTATAATCATTGGTTCGCATACTATATACCACGAAGGCAGAAGTAGAGCATTACTAGTGAGCTCAAGTACCTAATTTCAACAATTTTCAACAAGATGGTCAATATTAGTGAGGTAAAATTCCCTTAAAAGAACTCCAAGAAAAGTAAATAATTCCACTGGGAAAAAAAAACAGAACAAAGCCAGATTCGACCAATGAACAAGTTGTTTCACGAGCAGTAAATCAATGAAGATATAAATCATAAATAGAAGAAAATTAAGTGTAACTGACAGACCTATTGTTTCTAGCAACTGCCAGTGAGGCAACAATTTCAGCAGAAAGTACGTATATAGGGCCATAGGCATGCAAGAAGTACTCATTGCCAATCAGATGTCCAGATTTCTCATACCTGCAAAGTTGTCCACATTAGACTTAGAAGTACTCTTATTCAGAGGTAGAATTGTGAAGGTTAAGAAAGCAACAGGCTATCTGTATCATAACAGCTCCACACTAACCGATAAGTTACCATTTCAACTTGGGGTCAGTGATCACTGGTCCTTTCTTCATGCATCCTATATAGGTCCGTGAATGGGTTCTTTCTTTGGCAAGAAGTGTTGCTAACCGATCTAGAAAGAAAAATGACATTAGATATATTGATTCCTACTAATCATGTTATTATATCTAATAGGGTTATCTGAATTTATATACCTGGACGTAAGTAAATATCATCATCGGCTTTCACATAATACTCAGCTTCAAAATGTTTGTAGGCTGCCTTGAAAAATGTCAAACTGTATTGGAAAAAGAACAGGGTTCTTAGACAAGTGAATAATTGAACTAGTACGAGGAAAGGAACAACAAAACTCTAGTTGGCATACGTCTTGTATGGAAGCTTGAGGTATTCTTCCTCATTATCTATAATCAGGAAATCTCGATATTTCTGCATCTCTTTCTGCAGCTCTGCCATCTTCTTTGCATCTCTTGAATATCCTATTACAAACCTAAATGCTAAACCAGTAGCTTGTTCCAACCTATCACAATATTATTCAGTTAGAATATAATTATAATCCTTGTGCCAGCCAATCATATCCACAAATCTGAACACAAAAATAAACATGTGTGTATTAACATTGTAACAGAATGCTCCTCCGGAGCAAGGACTTAGAATGAAGACAGGCTCCGGTAAACAGCTAATTTTAAGATTCTGATGACAGATCATTTTGTGTCCACACAACAAATTATACCCTGATGAAAGAAGTCTCTTACAGCTACTAGGAATTCAATCACTGGTAGCTGGGTACCAACAAATCAAATCTTACTAAAATCCGGTTTCCATGAACTTTAATTCAGTAGTTTAGCTACGAGGAAATCAAATCTTACTCAAATCTGGGTTCAAAGAAATTTTTTCACAAGCTTAGCTATGAGCTGATTACTGTATTGTCATCACTTTGTGAACCCATTATGAACAGCAGAATATATTCACATCGCATCAACTGGAAAAATATAACAGCATCTACGAGCATTAACTGCGGATTTACCGCAAAAGGCCCTCTGGGTCAGAAGGGAACCAGGTTTCCCTTAGGGCAGCACGACGATCAACAGATTCGAAACCTGTCTGAATCCCAACAAAGCCAATAACTTTTGGGCGATCAACCAAACCGTGGACACTTTGATCTCCTCCAAGATGGTTAGTCGATGAGGAGTAAAATGCGCGGAAAGCATCTTCGGATCCGCCGCAGCGGTAGACGGGTAGAGGCTGGTGGCGACGGATGGCAACGATAGCAAACAGGGTTCCGGAAATGCCGACGAAGAGCGAAAAGAAGCAGAAGATGATTAAAGGAGAGACATGGCGGCCGGAGAAAGGAGAGGGGAAGAAGCTGGGTTTTTGAGGTTTGAAGGTTTTGGAGCTGATTGTTGGGAGAGAAGAGGAGGATGAAGACGAGGAATGGCCCCTATGTGAGAAAAGTGGCATATTTTAGCTTCGGATTTTCAGGGTGAAACTGAAACCCCCCAAAGCGTGCGACACCTTGAGTCTGAAGACTGAAAGGAGGGGGTCTGTGAATGTGGCCGTGGTTTTCCCAATTTCCCTTATGAGTCGAGTCAGGAGTTCATCGGTAGCTGTAGTGGTTTGCTGTTGTGCCGTTAGAGTGGTTACTAGGGGAATTTTTCATAAATAGCAACTTTTTAAAAAAATTACAAAAATAGCACCCACCCAAAAATATTTACACAAATAACACCTTTTTTATGGACCGCACCTTCAAGGTGCGTTTTATATGTAAACCACACCCGGAGGGTGCGTTTATTATCCTAGGCCAAAACCGCACCTTGGCCATGTGGTTTATGTAGGTCTGTCAAGGTGCGATTGTGGCCTGACCTAGCAAAACCGCACCTTGGAGATGCGATTTGCTTCTCCAAAACAAAACCGCACCCCCAGTGCGGTTTGTGTGTCAATTATTTTCCAACACCCGACATATAGCCATGCAGAATAACAGACGTGGGCCTGCATGGCAGACGAAAACCGCATCTATAAGGTGCGGTTTTAATCAGTAATTTTGCCTATAAAAGACTGCACGGAAAACCTCTTCTCTTCACACCTCTCCTTCTCCCTTTTCAATTTTCTGTTCTAGCTCTATATTTCTTTAGTGTTTTTGCGATTAACGTTAACTCGTAAGTTTATTTTGTATTACTTTTTATTGTTATTTGTGATTTGTGATTTTTATGATATTAACTGAACTACGGTTTTTTTGCAAATGACATTCCAAAAGTTCACGCTTGGCTTACGGTGGAATGGTTACACGGAAGAGACCTGAAAGGGGGTCACCTACGTCGGTGGCAATTTTCAGAAAATAAAGGTCGCTACCAGACCGCTGCTTGAAGACCTCCATCAAATGTGCACTAACGTTACATGCATGGATGGCACGAGAAGAGTTGATCGTATGGTGTACCGATATCCAAACAGAGAAAGTGGGTCATTGTGGCATGAGGAATATCTCATAACCACTCAGGATGAAGTAGATTCCATGCTCGAATTCTTGAGGTCCAACAATCTTTCCAAAGCCGAGATGTTCGTTTACACCGAGGCGGCCGTTGGCGTTGGAGGTCATTCTGGACACGGTCAAACATCTGGTATCCATTATGGAGGTGAATTATATGGCGATCATCCCTACCAAAGTTACCATGATTCTCATTCCTATTTTCAGTACCAAGAGCAAGGTGAAGGTCATCATCAATCTTTCCCGTCATATGAAGAAGAAGTTCAACTGGACCTCCCCAACCAACCTCAGTACAACTTCCAATCAGACAACGGTAGTTTTCAAAACTACCATTATGGAGCTGATGAAGGTGTCTTTCATGAGCTGGATCTGATGGAAACTGCCCTGCCGGCACCAGTTAGTGACCCCTCAGATGAAGAAGGAGAGAACAACGTCAGTGCAAACAGCTCCGACCCTCTTGAAGGTGCTGATGATTCAAGACCAGAGTCAGACTCAGATAATGATGATGAGGTGGCTCATGACCGTGTACCAGTCCCCTACTACAATCACATTCCATACGACAATTGGATGGTCGACAGCGACATGGAGCCGCCAGAGGTCCCAGTATGGGGTCCACTCACTGGGTTTATGAAGGGCCAACAATTTGGCTCGAAGAAGGAGGTACGGCAGGCCATTGAGACTGAAGCAATGACTCGGCATTTTGAATGGCACACAACTCATTCCAACACTAAAAGGCTCTTAGTCAGATGTCGTAATCATCACGAGGGGTGCAATGTTAGGATTTGGGCCATCAACAGCAAGAGGCATGGCCACTGGGTCATATCCCGTGCGGTGAACACACACACATGTGTGTCATCCATAACTTCCCAAGGCCATCGACAGTTGAAATCCAAGGTGGTTGCTGCGACTATCAAACATCTAATTGAGAAAGATCCGGACCTGAAGGTGAAAGTCATAATCGCTGACATTGCAAGTCGTTATGGTTATATGATTAACTATAAGAAGGCGTGGCATGGAAAGCTGAAAGCTCTGGCCGCCATCTTTGGTGATTGGGAAGAATCATATGCATTCATTCCCAGGTTAATTTTGGCATTGGAGGCGTCTAACCCTGGTACTGTTTTCTCCCCTCGATACCAAGATGAAGAGATACAACCCCCAGAGCCAGGTAACAAACGCCATTTCAGACGGCTTTTATGGGCATTCAAGCCATCTATTGATGGTTTTGGCTTCTGTGTCCCTGTGATCCAAGTGGATGGTACATTCCTTACCGGCAAGTACAAGGGCACTCTCCTGATTGCCAGTGGGGCGGATGCAAACAGACAAGTCTTTCCTTTAGCCTTCGCCATTGTTGAGGGAGAGAATGCTGATAGCCATGGATGGTTTTTCCGGCAAATTCAGCTCCACGTCACTAGGAGGACGAACCTGACAATAATCTCTTATCGGCACGCCGACATTAGAGCTGCCATCTTAGGTTTAGATCCAGACTGGAAGTGGTCCCAAAGGTGGTGCATACGACACTTCAAGAGCAACTGGAACCATCATTTCAAGCGGAAGAAGCTTGCTGATAATTTGTGGTGGATTGGTAAGCTCTCTATTAGCCGTTTAATTTTGTCAGCTAACAATATGTTGTAATCAGGAGAGTGGTGCACGTGTTAGACTCTTTCTAAAGAGATGCATGCCTAAGGAGATGGGGTTTTAAGCGATTATCATGGTCCTCCCATTTCCTGAGAAAATCGGGCTTTAAGCAATCTTCGGATCCCCCATTTTTCTGTCAAACAGGCTGTGTTTCTAAGGAGATGTATACCGCTCCTAAGAGTCTAACGAGAGTGCCTCCGGGTTGTTCGAATTGTACTATACCTCTGCTGGCGTGCGTTCCACCCTCCGATCGCGCCTCCATCCAACGGTCTTTAAGACCGTTCCGCAGAAAAAGCACACCGCACCTTCCTAGTGCGGTTCGCATGCTGACGTGGCATGGAACGCACCCCTAAGGTGCGGTTTATAAGTAAAACGCACCTTAGGGGTGCGTTCCATTAAAAATGGTGCTATTTATGTCAATTTTTTCGACTGGGTGCTAGTTTTGTAATTTTTTTTAAACGTGCTATTATTGGAAAAATTCCTAAATTTTGAGTAACACATTGGCTACCAAGTACCAACATCTACCCTCTTAATTATATATACTAGGCTTTTGGTCTGCGTTCTGCCATGGTCAGACTCACGTAAAATGCTTGTTTAATTGATACATAATAATATATTTATAATTAATGTTACTATTATAGAACGGTGTTACGTTAATTTTGTATAATGCATGATCTAATAATAACTTCAAATTAAGAAAAAGCATCACATTTGATTAAACTATTATATAAAGTTAACTTACCAATGGAACATTATGCAAATTGATAGATTGTGAATACTGTAGTTAATAATAAATCAATTTTAATTACTAATAAAATATTTATTAATTAAATTATGAAAAGTATCACTTTTAATCAAATTGTTATGTAAACCTTATAGAATCTTTGTATAATACAAATTGATGAGATGCTCAACACTCCGCGAGCAAGGATTGTCCGCCACGAGCGGAGCGAAAACAAATCAGTGGGAATTCTTTGTTGGGGGAAATCCTTTGATTGCGTATTGAGTTGACTTTGGGTTATCCCAGTGGGTTAAGTGGCTAGGTGCTTATTATATGTTACGTCTGGATCCTGATCCGACCGTACCCCAAATCGACACAGGTGAACAAGTAGAGTATAATTTTTACATAATAAATTACTATCCCTTCATAAATTTTACGTAATGTCTTAATCATTACAAAAGAGTTAATGTATCATGTTTTGTTTAATTATACAAAAGAAATAACTATCCTTCCATAAATTTGAGGTAGAGTATTTTTAATTTACATAACTTTTATGGAACGGTATTACATAAATATTTCAGAATTTGTGGTCTAATAATAAAATCAACTTACTAAACGTATAATAGTTTATTAAAATATTATGTAGAAGTTAACTTAGCTTACGAAATCTTTGCTTAATATAAATTGATGATATGGTTAATATTGTAGTTAATGTAATAAAATTTTGTCTAATTGTTACATAATAAACAACAATCATTTCCTAAATTTGACGCAATGTATTTTTAATTTAGGTAACTTTAATAGTTCGGTGTTACATAAATAATTTGTAATATTTGGTCTAATAATAAAATCAAGTATACTGAAAGTATTATATTTGATTAAACAATTATATAAAATTTAACTAACCTTACCGCAAGGTTGTCAACCAGCGGGTCGACCCCTGGGTTAACCGGAATTGACCCTAACCAAGTGAGTAAATTGGGTCTCACACACACTCGCTGGTCAACTTGCAGCAAGGTACCAGGGTTATATGTCACACAACGTCGTTTTTCCTTTTGGTTTGCGAATTGCACCTCTTTTCCGGTTTCCCCTTTGCCTAGCCCTATTTTTGGATTTCTAAGTTGAACATTTGAATATTTAATTTATATGAGTTTGTTTGAATTTTCATTATAGCGTTGGATCCAAGTATAATTATTATTCGGGTGTAATGTTATATGTTATTACACGTGTGTTATATGAGATTTTATATAATTTTTAAATATATGAACTATAATGACTTTTTTCATATATCCGGGTCAAATGGGGTTAAAGTGATCGGACCGTTATCTTACAAAACCTTTGCGTAATGCAGATTGATGATAATTAATAATGCAATTAAGTTATAAACTTACTTTGCAAAATTATTTAGTTAATGATAAAGGAACTATTGAAATTGATGATGCAAAATTTTCAATCAGATATATTTAGTAGTTACATCATGTGATAGAATTTGGGATTAGGGTACCTGAATTCCTCAATAGCTTGTGCATATAGGCTACAGTCACCCGTAGGTTATAACTCAAATTAAAAAACCATAATAAATACACAATGAAGAGTGGGCTTGGGGTTAAGCGCGTTTTTAGTAAGAAACCGTCAAATTAATGAAAGATAAACTTGTGCTTTAAAATGAATGCATTTATAAAAAAGCTAGTTGTATATGAAAATGGCAGTCATCTGACTCTAAAAAAAATGGGGAGTGCTCTCCCCTCTCTCTTTCGCCATGTGTGATGGATCGGCCATCTCATGATCACCATGGTGATCTCGATCTTCTTGGTTTGCATGCGCGATCAACAACAGCCACAACGTCGGAAAACAAACAGTCTTGGTGTTCAATCTGATCTGGGTGAAGATGGGAAACCAGCAGGGGATATTGAATCACGATCCTCTGCCATGGGCAGACGAAGCGCGGTGGTCTATTCCTATGGGCGGCTGTCCATTGACGATCGAAGAACGATGCAAAGAATCGATAAACGTAAAGGTAAACGTAAGCTTGGGCATGTCCTGACTGAAAGTAATATGGAGATCGCGAAGCGTCGACGATCCGCAAACATTATCGTCTGGTCTTTTAAGATCCCTACAATGGAGGAATTGGATTTAGAGGAGCTGGTATTCAAAAAAACCATTATGGTTGCCAATGATAAAATGGCAATCGGGAATGCCTCTCCTCCTCCGGTGTCTAAGGATCACCCCGATACTCTTTTTCCAAGCGAGCTTAACTGGCGGACGGAGGGTGGTACACTCGTCGATGGCCGAATCTCCATCGTCGATGGTTGTTGGATAAAAAATTCTCCCATCCAATGGATGGTTGTTAGGAGTGTATCTCCACCAGATTTGGTCTCCGAGACTAAGGAGATTTTTAAAATTAATTATCAAGTCCCGTTATCTTGGGAGCAGAATTCTACTTCGAGGAGACATCTGCTTCTCCGAAACCACGTGGGAATGGGAAACCCTATTGGTGAAACGACCCGACTCTTATTTAAGGCGCTTGAAACTGGCTGTCTAACTCGGTGTTTAACTTCAACTCGAGTTACGGAAAACACACGAGCAGTTCCTGCCGCTGTCAATCCCAGGATCCCATACCACGCAGATAATGTCACGATCTCTCCTCTCCTCCCTCGGTCCTTGAAGCTGCTTGTCGGCCCTCTACTACGATCCAAACCTGGGGGTTCGGATGGGATTAGGGCGGGTAACTCGGCCATCGCCCATAGCCATGGTCACGTTGCATGCATGGGATTGATGTGGCCACGGCCGATAGGGGGTGTTGAGATGATATTTAATACAAAGGAACCTATTTTGCCGGTTCAAAACATGGCGCACATTACTTCGGACCAAGTGGTGCAATTTTCTATGGAAGAGGTCCAATCGACGAAGTATCGTGCCTCCCAATCATTGCTTGGTCGAGTCTTCACTTCTAATAGAATATACACTACGGAATTGAGGGAGGGTGTGCTCATGCCTTGACTCATCCAATGACGTCTCAGGGTGGTCTTGGCTATGCATGGATTGGTCGAGTTCATGCTCCCTAGCGAAGAGGCTCGGATCTGGGTGCTTAAGCGTACCCCATGGGTCATCAATGATCAAATCATTCACCTCCGTCTGTGGACACCGGTGATCACCAAACAAATTTTTGATGACCTTGTAATTGTCCCATTATGGGTTCAATTGTGGGATGTGAAAGAAGAATGCTGCACACAGCAATTCTGGAGGAAAATGGTGAATTCTATTATCGGCAAAGTGCTAGAATCGAATCTTTTTGCATGTCAAGATACTGGGCGTTGGTTCGTGAAAGTCAAGGCTTTAATTAATTTTACGAAACCACTTCGATCCCAAATTATGGCTACTAATGATAATACAGGCTGCTTCTGGGTTAGCCTAAAATACGAGTATCTATCTAGTTTCTATTATCAATGTGGTAGGGTGGGCCGCCTGCTTCGTGCTTGTACTTTTGACCCGCCAACACGGAAAGAAAAATTCGGACCGCATATGTCCACATGAAAGCTGGGTGAAGTTGGGGGAGATGAAGCCGGCGGCTGAGACCCCCAAGGCACGAGCTGCTCCCCGCCCAGCTCGAAGGAAATCAATTGTTGTTTCGAGCCGATCCAAGAAGCTAGAGGCCGACCGGATTCCTGGTGAACCGACTCGGTCTGGGAAGAAAACAGGCAACCGCAAGGGTAAAGGTGCCCAGACTGATCAGGGAAGGGAGGAGACCATTCTGGCTTGCCCAGTGGCAGAGAAGGGCAAATTGGATGTGGGTGACTCCGATGCTCATGTGTTTTCGGATGGATCTCAATCTGATGAGGACGAGCTTCTCTTCATTATTAAAAGTAGGAACCCTCCTAATGCTTAGGAACGGCACGTTCAACTAGGGCAGGTGAAACAGGTGGTAGCTGCTTTTGAGGCGAATTTGGTCATTAATGAGAATAAAGATCATTTGGAACCTGCGGAAGGGGAAATGATTTTAAAGCTGAACAAATATGGCTCTAATATTGAGGATGGGACTCGTAAGCGGTCTCTTCAAGAGTTAGAAGGGGGATTTGAGGATAGTCCCACCCCTAAGAGGCAGTTTGTGGAGGAGCATACGGAAACTGAATTGGTGGAGGAAGCCAGCCAAAAGTGGCCCCAATAAGATAAATGAGACTTCTGGCTTGGAATGTGAGAGGAATTGGGCCATCCCTCAGATTCCAAACAACTTTTAGTTTAGTTCGTTCTAATAATCCGGACCTTGTTTTCTTTTCAGAAACAAGAGCGTCCAGGTGAGTAGTTTCTCGTCGTTTGCGGGGGTTAGGGTTTGAGTCTGCTCATTATTTTTTTTGTTGATGTTGTTAATGGTTCTGGTGGTCTTGTAGTTGCTTGGTCCCCCGAAGTTGATGCTTCAGTGTTTTATCATTCAAGTTTCTGTATTGGTTCAAGAATTAATGAAAATGGTTCTTCGTATGTGGTGCTCTATGTTTACTTGAGTTGCCATATCACCTTGCGCGCGACTCAATTGATCCAAATTCATGAGATATGTGAGGGACTTCAGTTCCCTTTTGGGATCATTGGTGATCTTAATGTGACCCTAACTGAGAATGAAAAAGATGCTGGCAACCCGTGGAATGCTTCCCAAGCTCTGGACCTCCACAATCTGGTCCAAGATCTCGGGTTGCACAACCCAGGTTACCAGGGTGACCCTTTTACCTGAAAAAACAAACATATGGGGTTGGCATGTATTCGTGAAAGACTAGACAATGCGTTATGTTCCCAACGTTGGATGGATCATTTTCCTGAAACTCTAGTGAAACATTTCACTGACCAAGGGTCTGATCATCATGCATTACTTCTGTCTGATAAACCGTATGTCCGGATGTGTCGCTCTCTGTTTCAGTTTGATGCCAGTTGGGCAGATAAACCTGAAGTTAAGGCTATGGTTGCGTACGTTTGGCAGGAATCAATTCATGGTACTCCGATGTTCCAGTTGTGGGAAAGGTTGAAAAAGCTTCGCCATTTGCTCTACGACTGGATCAGAGCGGGTACCACTAATTCCCTGCGAAATATCCATACCTTGCAAAATGAAATTGTCAGGATAAAATCGGTTCACCCGATTAATTGGCAGGAAGTGACAAATCTGGAAACAGAATTAAACCGACAATGGGAGGCAGAAGAGTTATACTGGCAACATAAATTGCGTGTCCGTTGGTAGAAAAGAGGTGATAAAAATACATCCTACTTCCACATGGTCACGCGAACCCGACGCAAAAGGATTTTGTCTCGAGCCTGTTTAATGACAATGGGAATTGGATAACAGAAGAAAAAGGAAAGGTGCACATTGCGACCAATTTCTATCAAACTCTCTTCCCCTCGGAATCTCAGATACATAATATGACTAAGCAGGTGGCTGATCTCCCCATTGCATCCAATGTGACCCCGGAAATGAATGCTACCTTAAACCGCTGAGGTCCGTCCTAATGAGATCCGCAACACGGTTTTTGCGATGGGCTCAAAGCAGGCGCCAGGCTCGGATGGTTTCACATGTGTCAGCGGTCGACTCTTTCTTTGCTACGAGCAAGATGCTCCGGAGTTTCAATCACACTTGGTTGATGCTAATCCCAAAAGTAGATCAGGTGGAATCCATGCGTCAACTTCGCCCCATTAGTTTATGCCAGTTCGTATATAAAGTGATCAGTAAAATTATGGCGGAGCGGCTTGCTAGGATCTTGCCTACCATTGTCTCGGAAGGTCAGAATGCCTTTATCAAGGAAAGACAGATTGTGGACAATATCCTTATTGGTCATGAGTTAATGCATTATTTGAAAATCAAAACCCGTGGGAAAAAGGGATACATGGCTCTAAAGGTTGACATGTAAAAGGCCTATGATAGAGTTGAATGGTCCTTTCTTCTTGCGGTTTTGGAAAAAATAGGCTTTAGCTCTGTCTGGCGAGGGTGGATTCGTGAATGCTTACAGTTGATAACTTTCTCGGTCCTCATGAACGTGTCTCCGTCTGGTTTCTTTGCACCTTCTAGGGGGCTCCGGCAGGGGGATCCTCTTTCTCCCCTTATCTTTGTGCTTTGCATAGAGGGGTTTGCTGCCTTACTTTGTAAAGCCATCTCCGAGAAGAGGCTGGCAGGGATTAAGGTAGCTCCTCGGGCTCCCTGAATATCTGATCTGTTCTTTGCTGATGATTCTTATTTGTTCTTCTGTGGTTCCCTCTAGGAGTGTGAGAATTTGATAGAAGTTCTTAATGAGAATGAGGAGCTTAGTGGTCAGAGAGTGAACTTGGAGAAATCGGCAGTTTGTTTTAGTAAGAACTTTTCATCGCCAGATCAAGAGTTCTTGGCGACAATCCTAGGGGTGGGTGCAATAGGAGTCCAGGATAAGTATCTTGGTCTCCCCACTTTGATAGCTCGCTCCAAGACGGCCACATTTTGCTATTTGGAGGAGAAGCTTTTGGAACGCTTGCAAGGATGGAAACGAAGGAATTTGTCTTGGGAAGCTAAAGAAACTCTGATTAAATCTATTGTTTTAGCTCTGCCGCTCCATGTAATGTCCAGCTTTCGTCTTCCTTTGTCACTCTGTCGCCTCCTGGAGAAGCATGTGGCTAGATTCTGGTGGGGGGTAGAGGAGGGACGCTCCAGGATTCGGTGGGTCTCCTGGCGAAATATTTGTAAAAGTAAACATGAGGGGGGAATGGGTTTTTGTCGGTTCGAACAATTTAATCAAGCTCTTTTGGCTAAGATAGGATGGCGAATCCTGAATGAGCCCCAGTCCCTCTTAGCCCAGGTTTATAAAAAGAAGTACTTCCCGCAGGGCTCTTTCCTCTCGACTATGGCTCGCTCCCGCCCGTCCTAAGGATGGCAAAGCATTCTCTTTGGGCGTCAGTTGTTGACTAAGGGGTTACGGTGGCAGATTGGGAATGGCCAGAAGGCCCCTTTGCTTAATTCGAACTGGATCCCGCAGCAACATCCTTTCCCCCCAGTTTATAACCCGCGGATCCTACCTGAGGGAGGGGATGTAACGGAGATGCCCTTACCAAGGCATAATATTGAAGATCGTCTGATCTGGCATGCCACTGAGGATGGTCTTTTTACTGTAAAATCAGATTATCACTTGGCGGTTCGTCTTGATCAACAGAATGGGCGATGGCGGGCGCAGGTTAGCTGGATGGACAAGCCTAGTTGGATCTGGTTGTGGGAGGCTAACATTCCTCCAAAGTTGAAGATGTTTGCCTGGAAAATCTTGAACAGAATTCTACCGACGACTGAGGTGCTAATTGAATGGAAAGTAGTGGTCCTTTCCCGTTGTCCTGTTTGCTGGGCTACATTGGAGACAATGGAACACTTGTTCCTTGACTGCCCTGTGCCTAGGGCTCTGTGGGCTCAGTCTGGTTTAGATTATCTTGGTGAAGGATTGCCCCGCCATACATTCCCCCTCTTCCTAAAGAAATTGCTGACTCTCTTACATCAACCCTCGCAGTTCATGGCGGTAATTGATGTCCTGTGCAGGATATGGAGATCCCGGAATTGGGTGGTCTTTGAAGGGAAGCAGTTCGGAATTCCTGCTTTAATGAGGCAGTATAATCAATAGTTAGGAGAATGGCTCTGCTTGCCTAGTGATCCTCAGCCTCTCTCTCAGTCTACTCCTAGTACTCCTACAATGGACTTAGGTGGGTCAGGGGGGCCTGTGTGTCGTTGGGATGGGGCAGTTCGAAGAGGGTCTCACTCTGGAGGAGGAATGGTAATCCTCAATGAGGTGGGGGTGGCCCTCTAGGCTGCGAGAGTTCAGTTCCCTCTGATGGATGATCCAATGGTGGTAGAACTACTTACTCTTCTGGGAGCAATCCGTTGGTGTTTAGCGCATGGATTTTTGGCAATGCGGTTTGAAGGTGACGCCAAGGTGGTCATTGATAAAATCTGTCGGGTTGATGTGCGTGATAATTGAGTAGGGGCTATTTTGGAGGAGATTGTAAAATTTTTCACGTCAAATCCGGGCTTCAGTGTGCGATTTGTAGGTCGGGGAATCAATAGGGTAGCTCATATGGTAGCTAGACAGGCCCTGTCTTTGTTCTCGACTAGGTGTCGTTATTTTGATTTTCAGACCTGGCTGAATTCAAGGATGTAACTATCGATTTGTTTCTATCAATATATGATTATCTTTTGTCAAAAAAAAAAAAAAAGACGCTATGTGAAGTTGAATTAATAAAAAGCTTGGTTAAAATTAGAAAGAAGCAATGAAATAAAATTTGCAAACTAAATAAAGTGCCTGGCCACAAAGATAATCGTGGATCATGTAACTGCACAGGAACAAAACCGCTGCTAAATAGCATTGTCGCCGACGGAAAACTTGCCATCCACCGGAAAGACTCGATAGAGGAATCTAGACCGCAATTCCTTTGGAACCCCTGCAAAAAGAGATGTATAATCCACTGCAAAGGGCCAAGATTGGCAACGCATAATGGCGGGGCAGCAAACTGCTCGAGCGCACAGTAGCGAGAAGGAATGTAGACAGATCTAAATTCGTGGAGTTAATCTTCTTCTTTACTTCCTTTTCCAACCGATTTCATGCCCGCTTCCGTTGGAGGTCCAAGCCCTGTAATATGAAGAAGAGCTGGTTACGAAGTTACTGGAATCCGGTACTCGTCGGTGGACAATGGCACGACCTTACTCCCCCGTGACAACGACCACTGAAGCCGCCGCTCATGGAATCGCTACTCTGGTCTCTGCCACGGCGTTGTTGCACATGTCCACGGCTTCCGCTGGAGATGGCGCCGGAGATTTTCGTCAGATGGAGGTTGGGAGCGGAGACGGTTAAAAAAAACTACTATGATTTCCCTCCGTTCTTGCTGTAGATCGTTTTCAGCCTCTCATCCTCAATGGAGCAGCCTCTCATCCTTAATGCAAGTATTGAGGTATTTTCATGAAGGTTGTGTTCTATTTTCCACTTCCAACTCTTATGTCAATTTGACCTAGGTAGATGCAAATCTCCTTCTTGTTAAGAGGCTTTCAAAAGTTGGAAATCCTTGGCCAAATTTAGCCACCTACTTAGGCCAAATTAGTGCAAACCTCATACTACGTTTTAGCACCTTGGGTAGGTTGTTTTGGTCGTCCGAACTATGGTTCGAGGGAGAAGCCTAAATAATCCTTAGTCGATTGTCTAAGAGAGCATTTTTGGTAGCTTGATTTTATATCCCTTGGCCTAACGACCGAGAGAGTGAAGCACGTTCACTTGTTATGCTTCCCTACGATTTATGACCACTTACACCATGCACTTGCATTCGGTTCAACAAATCATGATTACTAGCTAGGGGAGTAATATTCGGGTGAAGCCTTCTTAATAAGTGTTCAAAACCATTTACATTTCCAATTGGTTTCAACATTAGCTTATAGATTTAACGAAAAATCGATTGCTAGATAACGTTTCAAACAGTTGAAGTATGGCTATATGGACCGACCCAGGTTTGACTTTTAAAATATACTTGCCTTATATTGCACCTGATTATAGCTTATACTTGGGTATTAGTCGAGATTTAAATTGTGGTATTCGGGACGAGTCAGGCACCAGTCTGATTGGGAAGCCGGGTTAAGTTGGACTATCTAGATCTTTGGCAGAGATGCCACTGAGTGTGTTGTAGGTAGGCTACCATGGCAGTCTATGGTTAAACATCTATGGCGAGAACGATGCACCAGATGTATAGGAGTGGTTAAAAGAGGTTTATGCTCTAGTTAAAGTGATAAAGAGTAAAGTCTCTGTTCTGGTACAAAGGAAAGATCAGGAGCGATTCTGGCCATCTTTTAACTGATGAAGGTTTCCCCATGGCCAGACCCGACGTTTGACCGTTAACTTGGACGGTCAAACGCGTTGACTAACGGTCAACGCGCCACGTCGCTGCCTACTCAGAAAATGCAATTAATTTTTTTTAAATTTCCACCTATTTTCATTTTCTTTTTTCATTTTGAACCAAAAAAAAAATAAATAGAAAATAGCTTTTCGATTTCGGGTATACCCATCATCCACTCCAAACGCACCCGCCACTTGCTTCCTAGCTAATGGCGGCCTTTCGTCGAAGCGAACCAACTCAAGCTGCCCGCTCGCAGAGAAGAAAAGAAAATGCTGAGCAGCAGGACAGTCGTGGCAGTAGACTCATCCTCTTCTTTCCTCTCATTCTCTCCGCCTGCTGCTTCCATCTCCACTTTCGCCGCCGCCACTTACCATTTTTGAACAGACGGCTCGGGTTCTCCAAATGCCCCACCAATCGTGATCACAACATCATCCCGAAGCCGCAACAGCATAGCAGAGTGATGGAGGGTTTCATTGCTCGAGCAGCGGAGGCATCGACGCCGCAATTGGAGGACGCCGATGCACTCATCGACTCCGTTGAGACCTTCATCTTTGATTGCGACGGTATAATTACCTTTTCGTGGTCTTTCATTCTCAATTCCCACAATTAGAGACTTGGGTCGGAGAGATATACCCGAAATCGAAAAGCTATTTTCTATTTTTTTTTTGTTCAAAATGAAAAAAGGAAAGGAAAATGAAAATAGGTGGAAATTAAAAAAAAATTTAATTGAAATTTGCTGAATTGGCAGTGACATGGCGCTTTAACCGTTAGTCAACACGTTTGACCGTCCAAGTTAAAGGTCAAACATCAAGTCTGGCCAAATTAGTTATTTTGATGTATAGTTCGGGCCAGTATGTTATAGATCGAAAAGATTGGTCAGGATGTTTATTTTGGTCAAAGTTCAGGCCAAACAAATATATTAACCCATGCTTTAATATACAAGTTAAAATTGTACCATAACGTTAAATGTATAAGTTGAGGTTGTACCATAAAGGAATTTGTACATTTATGTTATAGTACAACTTAAAGTTGTCAAGTTGTACCATCACATAAAGGTACAAGTTTAATTTGTAGCATAAAAGAATTTGTACAAAATAGATAGGTAAAATCTGAAATTATACTATAACTTTAAAGGTAAAATTTCAAGTTGTACCATAAAAGCAAAAACCTATATCGCCACTGCTATATAGCATCGTAAAATTTCCACTATTTCATACCTAGTTTTTAAGTTATTGGATGGAAAAGTAAAGGTGTATACAAAAATTAGACGTAGATCAAGAAAAAGTAGTGCCACACAGGTATCTCAAACCCAGTTTCAACTTTGGTTTCTACTCCAGATGAAGTAACACGATCATCCTGGAAGCATACAACAATCTCTCGGGGAACTGTTATTTGAATCTACAATGTTAGTTCTTCATGAGTTCAGGTCTAACGCTGTTCTTAAACAAACTGTTATTGCATGAAGTAAAGACGCTGTTCCCGTCAACCAATCGATCTTAGGCTTTCAGCACTACAGAAAAGACAAACGTAGCTGTCCTGGCAGGCCGCCAGACTACCATGCTTGTCGAGCGAGAGGGCGTCTGATGACAATATGCACATTCAATTTCAAAATAAAAGGCTTAGAAGCAGTGCCCCGGGTCTTTCTGTCTTCTAAGATCCCACTTGAGCGATGCCTTTGGCCTTGGCAGCTGCAGTAGCTGCAGCAGCAGCAGCAGCCGCCGCAGCTGAAGCAGCTGGATTGGGAGTTGAGGGAGGTACTGGTTTGGATTGTGAACTACTGCCCCGTGGCGGAGCAACCACCTGCTGATGCTGCTTCTGTTGTTTCATCTGCTGCTGAGAGTTTACTTGCGCAAGCAAAGCGTTTATTTGGCTGCCTGAGAGCGTCTCCTGCTCGAGCAAAGCATTGGCAAGAGCATGCAGCTCTTTGTTATGAGTAGTTAGTATAGTTTTTGCATTGTTATAGGCCCTTTCTAGGAAGTTCCTAACTTCTTGCTCGATAAGAAGCCTAGTCTCAGTGCTCATGCTCTTCCCATTGTCATCATAATTGTGGCTGACAAGTCCAACCTCTTTACTCATCCCATACTTTGTAACCATTGCTCTGGCCAGTTTAGTAGCTTGCTGGAGATCGGAAGATGCACCAGAAGTAACTTCATTCTCCCCAAATATAAGCTCCTCCGCGACCCTTCCCCCCATGCAAACATCAAGCCGAGCAAGCATCTGTCTACGAGATATACTTGTCTCATCCTTGTCTGGCAACTGGGAAACCATACCAAGAGCCATACCCCTAGGGACAATTGTTGCTTTATGAACTGGAAGAGCCCCATCAGTATGTACAGCAACAAGAGCATGTCCACCCTCGTGAAAAGCTGTAAGCTTCCGGGACTCGTCCGATATCACAGCAGATTTACGTTCACTTCCCATCATGATCTTATCTTTCGCATACTCCAGATCCATCATGTTGACAGCTTTAGCACCATCCATTGCAGCCTTAAGGGCAGCAATGTTGACCAAATTCGCAAGATCTGCACCTGAAAATCCAGGAGTCCCTCTCGCAATTATCATCAGATCGACATCATCAGCCTTTAGCACCTGTAAGTAATAGAATGGGACCGATGAGACTTGGTTCGTATTTTGGTTCTAACAAATAGACATGAAGTATGCCTGCTAATTAGGAGAGTAACAAATATGCAGCAGCTTCCAGGTAGCCTGAAGACAACATATGACTTTGTTGCTAAACTTGAAGGATCAGTAAAAATAAGAAGACCATCAAGTCTGATCTGAATAAAGCAACACGTCATAGTCTATTGCATCAACATCAAGGAAGATGGCTCAGAAGTATAATAATGCAATTTCAAATTGGTAAAGAGGGACAGCATGCAGACATCTTTGTTAATTAGAAGATTTGGAAGAAAAGGTGATGCAGCATGATATTGTGTTCTAAGTTTTCAAGAGCTAGGAAAAGGCTTGGCCAAGTCAGTTAAACCCAGTAGCAATCTAGAATTGGCAAAAAATTTAGAAGTACATTCTTTATAGGTAACTATCTTCATCACAATCACATGTGACATCTGGTTTCATCAGCAATGTGCGGAAGAAATAGTTTAAGTCATCCACGACAACATCCACACAAGCTATCCATCAAACATGAGCGCTACTAACTGGGGAGCAATTAACATTTAGTCCAACTTCATGCAAAACAGAGAAACTAATGTACTTCCAAGTTGGCATAGTACCTTTGACATATGGGATTCCAAGATTTGCCGTCTTCCTTCCACATCTGGATTCGGTACAACGATGTGACGGTCAAACCGGCCTGGTCTTACCAGAGCTTTGTCCAATGACTCTGGGAAGTTGGTTGCTGCAATGACAATGATCCCTTCATTTTGCTTGAAGCCATCCAACTCAACTAGTAATTGATTCAAAGTCATCTTCATGTACTGTTGATCTTTAGGATTGCGGCTCCCACCAATGGCATCTATTTCATCTATAAATATTATGCATGGTGACCGCTTTTTAGCAGCTGAAAAGAGATCCCTGACCCTCCTGGCTCCAACTCCAACAAACATCTCTTCAAATTCACTCCCACTGCACGAGAAGAAAGGAACCCCAGCTTCTCCAGCAATTGCTCTGGCTAACATAGTCTTGCCAGTCCCAGGCGGACCAACAAGCAAAACACCTTTTGGCAACTTGCCACCCAGACGAGTAAATCGCTGATACCATAGAAAATAACCAATTAAGGGGTTAACAATCACACTTCTTAGTTCTTAATAACAACAGCACTGCAGTAACTCTATGTATAGGAATTTCACAAAATAAAGGTGTTTGCACAACGAAGGAACAGGTGATGAAACACACCTTTGGATCTCTGAGATAATGCACAATTTCTTCCAGTTCCGACTTTGCCTCATCAACTCCTTTGACATCACTAAACTTGGTATTGGATTCCATGCTAGGCTGCACCTCCTCGTGCAGACCAAGTCCTGCAACATACATGGAAGACAATAACTAAGAAATATAGTTGACCTCTGTTTGAGTGATTAACAGACCAAGTTGAAGAGCAAAGAAATATCATAGTACATCAGAATACAGATACCTTTACTAATTCCTCTGTCCTCAATAAGTGCTCCAACACCAGAAATCAATAGGAAGGCTAACGCAATAGAGCGAACAGTACGCCAAAGTTGCTCCTTAAAGTGACCTCCTTCTGAAGTAACCATATGAATTGGTGTACCGGCAGTCCCCAGAACACCTTCTTTCCCTGATTTGCCAACATTTCGGAAAACCGAAAGACCGCCCGTACTTTCTTCATCCCTCACTGCATTAGACATGCCTACAACATATAAACAGGTAGCTCCACCTTAATTTTGACATATATCAATGCCACAGCGGCAGATAGAAAGGTGACCAACAAATAAAAATGGAATCCAAGACTTAATCCATAATACTGTTGATCTTAGTTTCTCCCTCATTGACAGTGACAAACAAAACGGCACAAATTCTGTTGGTCAATGTATTCTGCGAGCACCTATATTCCACTATACAACATCCGGACACAACACCAAGCAGAATGCACTAAGCAAATATTGAATGGTCAAACAGCCTCAACTTTTGAGTTAGCAGTTGACAGGTTAGTAGTGTGCTACTTTTGCAAGGACACGAAGATTAAAAATAAAATCTCCAAGAAAGACATTATCTGATAACGGAACCCTCATCCAGCACCAAAGGAGAATAAGCCATCAGATAATATAAGAACCCACATACCTCTCTGCAGGGTCTTCAACAACTCGCTCTCATCTAGTCTGTCCACTCTGACTAGAGCTTTCACATACTCAGCAAGCGCTGAAGGATTATGATGCAACGATGATTGACTTTCAAAGATTCTAATAATTGCTTCAGGATCATTTCGGTGGTAGAGTTCTTTGAGGTGTGCAACTTCAGTAGCTTCATCTGCATCACGAACCCTACGAGCTAGATTGCCAACATAGCTTGATTGAAACTTCCTCTGAATATTGGGAACTCTATTGCCTGTAGATTGAGAACAACGGATGATAACGACATTTTACGATACAAAATCCAGAAAAAGCAAAAAAATATAGACTATAAAGATGCCAGGAAAAATGTATTTAGTAATACGGAGAACTCAAAGGGTTGTTTCTTGAGGCAGGTACAAGTTTCTTTATATACATATATATATAGATGGATTATGAGGGATGTGGATAACATGCACCCAAAAAAGTGAGTACCTGTAGCACTTCTGAATTTGTTAAGAGACAAATAGTTCCTGACAAACAAGCTTCTGCATTGTCGTAACTCTGATTGATGTCTTGAAACCTATTAGAAGATGAATATTCAAGACAAGACACACATAAACATAGCATGTTTTGCACCCCACGGAGAATGCTATGATAAAGCAGAAGCACAATTACTTCCAAGGCAAGAACTGAATTGAGCAGGAGCAAAACAAACAATTGCATACGGTGTTAAGTGCATTTTCACGCATAAAACAAATTATAGTATAATGGGATCCAGACATGCATAACTTATACTGGGAGATGAATTCTTCAAACTTTTAAATTGCGCCATGACTTTAGATAAAACAAGAAAGCGGTTTGCTGTCACACGTGATCCTACAATGACAAACCCAGTGGACTGCACCGGCACTTCTAAGCACAAAAAGAATTCTACTTTCACTCAAAAGAGTAAGATGGGTAGCCTGGTGAAACGAGAATGCAGACAGTAACTAAGCTCTTATAACCTATTCACATGTAACGAAGGAGGTCAAACGCCAATTAGTTCTCAATCCATTGAGCACAGGTATTCAATTCGACTATGACGATAGTTTCCGAGGCCCTATACTGATCGGCTGTAGAAGACGAGGTCGAGAAGTTAGGGTTTTTCAGCTACGAAGCTTGATCGACCAAACAGGGAGACCACACAAGGACAGGAACGGAAGCAAGGGATAATGCGAGATAGAAATATGCACCGCTGTTTGGGAAAAAAGGAAAAATCGAAGAAGGTATGAAGAAGTACTCACCTGAGAGATTAACTGCCTCCAAGCCATGGCTAAGGAACAGTGGCTGTGGCTGTGGATGTTGGCGATGAGAGGGAGGTATAAAAGTGTCCGTCTCTGGAGCGCGCTTCCGATCCGAAACAGGTCCCAGGTTGTATTTGGTCGAGAAAAATCCCCCGACTCGATTTCTGTTCCCACAAAGGAACACAACTCCTACCTTTCTTCCACTCAGCATTGATCCAGGATTAAATAACATGTTTCATACTTCAACTATTGCATATTTCCCATTTACATCTTTAACCTTAATTATTTTCTGTTTTGGTCCTCCGTATTTTTAACATTGTATAGTGTTCTAATTCAAGGCTTGAAGATTGATGAGTCTCAATATTGGGATTGAAAATGAAATTGTTGTCTAATAATATATATATATTCTGAATCGATATGTACTAGAATTTAAATTTTATCACCCTAAAACACAATAAATTGACATATTTATCACTCAACTCAATTTCAATTCGAAACCCTAACCAAACAATCCCTTGTGTCTTCCCTCACCCCCAACCCACATCTGGCGCAGAAACCAGAAACAAAGCTCCACCTCCCCTGCTCACCCCCAACCAGTAGCGGAGGGAGGTGGAAGGGAGTGGGATCCTAGGACCCCACTTGGATAAATTAAAATGGTTAAATGTATGTACATACTTGTTTAATTTGGATAGATTTAGAATTCAGGATCTCGTTTATATGGAATTTAATTGTCCTAGTATTATGAAACAAACAAATAATTTAGACTATATTGGTCATATATCATTGAAAATTCCCAATTTTATAGTCCTTATTCTAAAAAATTCTAATTATTCTAAATATGTGTACAATAACCTCCAGCTATATCTAAAAAGCTTTTAGTTCAACAATTTTTTCCTATCAATATACAATTTCTATGTCATCAAATGTGTTTTATAAAAAATTTGTGTGTATTAGATTTTACTTGGTGATTCGGGTCTAATTGTACACATTTTACCCCTCATTTCTTGATAGTTTGGCTTTGCATTTCATCGTCCCTCGACATATTTCACGCTAGGTTGTGCTTGTTTTGATACATTTCAGGTCCTAGCACGTGTGGAAGGGTCGAGGATGAGTTTTGGGACGATTGGAGGTCGAAAAAAGTGCAAAAACCGAAGAAAAGTCCAAATTCACGTCCGTGACCATTGCCCCACAACAGTGAAGTGCAGGCGTCCAGGTTTCAGGCCATGTTCACGGTTTCTCATTGGAGTTGACGGTCTCCTATGGTCATGAACTTATGCCATAAACCGTGAACCGTGAAGCGTTCAGGGCGATTTCTGAGGTTATTGACGCCGCGTGAGTTCACGGTCACAAAGACTGTGAACTTTGAGTGCAAACCGTGAACTCAAGTGAGTGAAGTGGTGCGTTTCGACACAGCACGCCGAGTTCACGGACGCGTTGAGGAGTTCACGGCCATGAACTGGAAGGCCGTGAACTCAGCTCGATCTCAGTACAAAGGGAGAGCTGAAAGTGAGAAGAAAGGGGAGCTTCATTTTTAGGTTAGGTTTTCATTTTACATAATAAAGAGGATTCTAGTGAGAGGTTACGGTTTCTTCTAGAGTGAGAAAGTGCAAATCATAGGAGGAAGAAGGAGCTTTGGGCTTGTTCCTAGCTAGAGGATTGAAGATTTCTTCATCTCAAGGGCGTCTCAAGCAACAAGGAGGAAAGATTGACATCACTTCATGGTTCTTTCTTCCCCTTTTGTTGTTTTCTCTTATCTAGCTATGGAATAGCCTACCTACTCACTTGGGTATTGCGAATCCTAGTCTCTCTATGTGTTAGGATGTAAGAACATGGATCTATTGTGTTGATTGAGTGTTTTATATGATATTTGAGGTATTATTCATGAATGATTGAGTGTGCTAGCTTTAACTCAATATTGTGTAAAATTGACTTAGAGGGTGGAAATCCCCTTTTGGTCTAATAGGAAGCTAGACTTCTTAGCCACTTGGGTAACCTCCTTTAGGTCGATTTAAGACCAAAATATCAAGTATTGAAGTAGGGCCGTGATTCCACCGGGATTAGTCTCTTCGTCGACCGGATTAAGTTCCGAGGGTTTGGTCTGCAATCCTTATTCGGCTAGTCGAGAGGGTTAGGTTTCCTAGCCTATCGTTGCCACCCTTAGCCGAGAGGTTAAGTGAGTTAGCTTTCTAACTTGTTGCAACAATTCTCAACTAGCTAACTAAGAGAGTTAGGGATCTCCTTGGTTGATCGGTGAAGAGGGCTAGGTTCCCTAGCTATGAATCACAATTCATAACCTAACGGTTAAGAGAGTTACTTCTCCTAGTTTATATTTGTCGATTTTCCTTCATCGATCGACTAAGGGAGTTTGTCCCTAGCTAGTTGCACCCACCTCGCGGTGTATGAGCAAGTCCTTCACACTAGGGCTTTGTTTGTCGCTTCTTAGCATGAGACTAGGGGGAACAATACCCGGGTGAAGTCCTCCCGAGTAGAATTCTCCTCCATTTACTTTCCTTGCTTGTTTAGTTTGTAGTTTTCTTAGTTTTAAACCCAAAATTGTTTTGCTAGATAACAACTTAAACGATTGAAGTAGGGGTACATGGACCGGTCCGGGTTTGACAATTAAATACTTGCCCTATACTGCACCCGGTTAGAGTTTAAAAACTTGGGCTCTAGTCGGGATATAATTCGCGGTGTAGTTTTGAGAGAGTCAAGTTTTTGGCGCTGTAGCCGGGGAACCACGGTCCATTATTTTGAAAAGGTCATTTAGTGTTACTCTAGCATTTTTTGTCTTGTCTTGTCTTGTGTTTTGTTTTTGTGTTTTATCTTTGTGTGATGCAGAGTTGAGTCATGGATCCCGATAGCTTCTCCTACCTGTGGGGTATCCACTAACACACGAATGGTGTTACCCCGAGCCAACATGGGGCTATCAAGAAGGAGATAAGTACGGATCCGTGGTCGACTACCAACTACCTTCCCATGATGAGTAACCACATCCCCCGGATGTTCAAGAATTCTATGCATACTATGAAGGGTACCCTCCACAACAAGAAGGGAAGAGCCAATTGGAGCTATTGGTGGAGAAGTTCGTATCGGATAATGAGAGATCATATTTCGAACCGACCTTTCCAACCATGGGTCCACCTCACTCGAATTTCCTTTATGAAGCGGAGGAGATACACAAGCGCATGGAGAAGCTAAACTCGACGGTCGAGGAAGCTTTTTCACGGTTCATCCAAGACCGACTCTTGGAGGTTGGTGAAGAAAAGAAAGAGGAAGAGGAAAGCCTCGAGGATGAATTGGAACGGTCGGAAGTTGTCACGGATGGCCACCATGATACTCACGACTTGGAATGTCCTCTTGAGGTAGCCACCACTCTTCCACATTTCATCCCAACCGTTAGAGAGGAAGTTCTCAACGAGGAAGTGAGTGCCGAGTCAATCGAAGATATAGCTTGGAAACTCGCTATTCAACGCTTACTTGCGAAAGAGAAATGAAAGATGAGGAAAGAAGATGTTGTGGAGGACGTAGTAGAAAAAGAAGAGGAATTTCTTGAGGATTCCCGAGAGGAGGAATTTGAAGAAGGGAATAAGTTGGATGAAGCAATTAACTTTCGTGCTAAGGAGGAAGACTCGGTGGAAGAGGCTTGCATCGGCCATGTGATTATCGAGAAATCTCCACCGAACTTCGAAGAGCTGCTTGGCAAGGATCCTTTTGCGATCACTCTTTGTCGGACCAAAGCCACTCTGTCATCATTCTTCCTTGATTAATGCGAAGGTGAAGAGTTTATGGTGTTCCGTCTGGTTTGGGGCAAAGAGAAAAGAGTAAAAGAGAAGGAGAGGTCTCAAGGGTGGAGGCTCCAAACCACTCGAGTTCATGAGTCGTCGTCAATTGCCATTTCGTGTGCTCATGACTTGAGGCCCCGCCTACACGATGGGAACCTCAACTAAAAAGTGGTTCTAGCATGGACCGAGACTTGAAGAACAATAGTCTAGCTTATGACGTAAAAGTAGCGCTTGTTGGGAGGCAACCCAACGTAGGTTTATGTTTATTTTTATGTTAAGTACTATTGTTGTGCAATAACCTCGCCTTGCGCGAGCTTGTGTGTTTGTTTTTGTCTCCTTGGAGCTCTCTCCTCTTCATCTCCGACCCAATTCGATCCCGACCTTCACTCACCAAGCTATGCGGTAACATCGTTCTACCCCTTATTTTACGCCATTGAGGGCAATGTCGAGCTTAAGTATTGGTGGGTAGTCTATCTATTATGCTTGTGCGTGTGATCGATTGCTTGGAGCCTTGATGTATGCCCAAATTTTTTAAAAAAATTGAGGGCTCCAAGCATTGCATGATCATTGTGGTCGTTTGTTGGAGGATCTCTTATTTATTGGCATTGACCTTGAATTGTTGCATGTGATGGAGTACGTCCCATGATGATGATTGAGAGGTGCATTAGGATAGTGCAAAGGTTTAGTTCTCATGTGTGAAAAAAATGAATGGATGTTAGGACTCGATTACTTGTTGATTACAATTGACATGCTTTGTGAATAGGAATAGATAGTTGGGTGACTAGGTAGCCATGTGAGTTTTGAGCCGATCGTTTTCTTCTTGTGTGCTTAGATCCCTCTTACCACGGCGATTAACATCACAGTTGTCATTAGTGAGTATGATGGAGGCATAGGATTAGTCCACGCCCAAATGTTGATTGTACCGAAATGATTTATCCACTAGTCAACCCCTTTGAGCCTTGTGACTTTGGGGGTCGTTCTCGTGTTAGGAGCTTTTTGCTTGTGAGCTTAATGGTGTTGAAAGAACAATCCCTCATCCTTTCTTCGTGTTTATACGTGTGTCGTCCTTGTGTCCTGGAGATCTCGCTTTTGAGCTCCATTGAGGTTCTACATAGGAGGATTGTGTGCGGTTCTTACTAGGAATAGAAGTGAAAGGAAGAGTAGTGTTGGAGTGAGTTCTTAAAAAGAGAGTGTTGATTGTTAAAAGTAGCGTGACAAATGTTTAACTCTCTAGTACCCCCCCCT